GTCTATGGCCAAACAGAGGTCAGGGCCTTAAACACCCAATCCCAGAAAGGGCTCAGTGGATAAAGTCATTTTATTAAAGGTCAGTAGAATTCTTGGAGAATAACATGCAGGTCAAAAAATTAATAATGAATTAATACAAAGTACTAGTTAGTCAGGTTACACTAGTTTAGTTACTGTTGGTCCAGATTAATGTTCTAATCTTAGAACCATATGATGCTACAGTGTAGAAGCAGGCCATTCAGCCCATCAAGTTCACACTGACCCTCAAAAGAGCAAAACACCCAGATCCACCTCCCTATCCCTGTAGCCCTGCATTTCCCACAGCTAATTCACCCAACCTACGCAATCCTGGACACTATAGCATGGCCAATCTACCTAACCTCTACATCTTTGGACTGTGGGACGAAACCCACACAAACACAGTGAGAACGTGCAAACTCCACACAGACAGCCACCCAAGGCTGGAATCGAACCCAGGTCCCTGGAGCTGTGAAGCAGCATTGCTACCACTAAAGCACCATGCCACACTACATTGCTAAATCCCATCCAATTAAATGCCTCAATTATATCCACCTTCTACTTTATAGTTTCTAGTGGGAATGGTTCAAATCTTCTGCTTCATTACCATATCAGTTACATTTTTTGTACATTTTCCAGATCAGATGCATGCATTCTGTAGTGGCAGTGCCAAAGATTACAGAGAATATTCCAGATGGGGCCTGACCAATGTTCTGAGAAATGCTCCAATTATTTCTTTGGATCTGTTCTTTTTTTGTGCAAAAAAAAAAACACTTTCCTGAGACAGTGATATGGTATCCCTGATCACACTCAGGGCACTGGTACACTGCTGTAATGCCAGACTGAGGAATGAGGATAACCCAGGGTGGACCTCTCCTCTTCAATCACATCTCCACTTCAACTGCTGCCCTTATTTCATTGGGGAAAGCTGAGTTCTGAAGAAGAGTCATCAGACCCAAAACATTAACTCTGATTTCTCTTCACGGATGCTACCAGACCTGCTGAACTTTTCCAGCAACTTCTGTTTTTGTTTCTGATTTATGACATCAGCAGTCCTTTTGGTTTTTGGTTATCCCTCAAGGATTATTTTTAAAAATCAGCCTCCTCTTCTTATGCCGTGTAAATTATTGCTCCCTTTGAGATTTGATATTCTTGCGTCTGTCTTGATGATGATAGCATCTCGACAGCATGTCACTTTTTTCTATAGTACTCAAAGTGAAAAACTGCAACTCAGCAACTCCAGAGGCAAAAGCAGAAACTTTTCATTCCTTGAACCAGCAAATAAATGAAAGATGGAAGCATGCCAGGACAAAACAGTGAAGTCACCCCAGTTGTCTGAACACAATATGTTCCTTTAAAGATCTTCTCTAGAAACACCACTCAGTGGAGCCTGGAGCCTGATCAACAGATCCCAGAACTGGCCAAGAATTGTAACACAATGCTCCGGTAGCCCCAACAGAACTAAGAGTTACTCACACTCATTTTACTGTCTTTTTTTTGGTCACAAACAAACCGACTTATTTTTGAAACTCTCACAGACACAATATTAGCGGAATTCATTTTTCTTTGCTGAACGGTGCTAAATGTTCTTTTGTCACCGACAGTAGAAAGAAAAAAATGGAAATTGTGTCACAAGACGACACAAAGAATGGGAATGAGAGTAAGTGAAGGATGACGGAGAGTGAAAGGGAACATACAAGAGGGCAAATACCATTATAAACATTTTCAGCTATGTGTAAAAATCACAGAACAGCAAGAAGGCATATGTCCACGAGTTAATCATAAAATACCAAAGTCAAAATTTGTGGAGATCTCGGAGAAATTTGTGAACCAGGGCTGCCAAATGATTTTGTTCATATCAATGCTGCCAGGCACATACCCTTACCTCTCCCCTCACTGTTGACAGATCCACACAGGGGGCACAGAGCCAAGCCCACATCACATTCCCTAGTTCTGCCAAACCTCAACCTCCCCCCTCCAGAGGATAGCGCTGGACCACAGGACCCTCTTCCAAGCTGCCAATCCCTCACAGCGCCCCACCCAAGTGCTGCCAAACTCCAGAATTCTCATCATTTGTCATACACAGAGGCCCAAATCCTGCAAAATCTCCCTTACTTATCTTCAAGCAAACACCATCTTGTTGAGTATCAGCTTCAACAATATGGTAAGGAATAAGTCAAACTCTCGTGTAAAGTAATACATAGGACTGAACTGAGAAGGAATTTCTTCACCCAGAGGGTTGTTAATCTATGGAATTCCTTGTCCAGTGAAGTAGTTGACGCTACTTCAGTAAATGTTTTTAAAAAAAAAGGTAGATTTTTTTTGAACAATAAAGGAATTAAGGGATACGGTGAGAATGCGGGTAAGTGATCGGAGTCCACGAAAGGATCAGCCATGATCTTATTGAATGGCGGAGCAGGCTCGAAGGGCCAGACGGCCTACTCCTGCTCCTAGTTCTTATGTTCTTATACAAGACACATATCATTTATGTTACAAACGTAAGAAATTTGAGTCTCACTTTATAGCCCCTTGAGCCAGCCCTGCAGTTCAAGATTATCATCCTGGGTTAGGTGCTCATCAGAGGGTCAGAATGGACTCAATGGGCTGAATGGCCTGGTTCCACACTGTAGGGATTGTATAATTAGCTTCAATTTCACTTTCTTTTCCTCGTCCCCTGATTCCGCAGGAGACAAACTCTGTCTGTCTCAGCCTTAAACATATTCAACAATGGAGCTACCGTAGACCTCTGTGGTGAAATATTCCAAAGATTGACTGCCCTTCTACGTGAAGCAAATTCTCCTCATCTCAATCTGAAATGATCTCTTTATCCCAAGACTGTGCACCATGTTCTGGATTTGAGGCGAAACAATTTCTCGGCACTTACTATGTCAAGCCCCTTCAGAGTTTTGCGTATTCCAATGAGATTACCTCCCATTTTTCCCCACTGATTCTAGGCCCAATTTACTCAGCTTCTCATTCCAGAGACATTTCCTGTACCACCACCTTCCCTAAGTATGGAAATGAAAATTGCACACCATATTTTAGGAGTGGTCCCAAAGTCCTCTATAGCTGAAGCAAGGTTTCTTTATTCCTGTACTCCAATCTACCTACAATAAAAGGCCAACACACCATTTGCATCCCTAATTGCTTGCTATACCTGAACGCTGCGACAGTTCTTGTACATGTCTACCCAAGTTTCAACCTCAACAAGTTTGATATCTCTAAAAACAATACTCTGCTTTTTTTCATTTGTACAGCCTTACATTTGAAACTTAAATTGAATAACTTCATATTTCCGCACCTCGTTGCTCACTCACTTGACCTGTCTTTATCTTTATGCAGCCTCTTTATATCCTCCTCACTGCTTGCTCTTTCACAGAACACCGGTCAGTTCTGGAATTTGATCATGAAATAAAATCTGACTTACTCAAAAAGTGGATCAGATCTTCTGGTCAATAAATCAAAATCTCCAATTCTTATGAAAACAGGGTTAGAAAGCAATACCACGGGAGATCTGCTAATAATTTTTAAAAATCCTCTGAGTTGTGCAAACTTCCTATAAACGTCATGTTTAGCTCCAAATTGATTTTGGAAGGCACTTTAGAGGGAGCTGTGATGCGTGTAATGTAACAGAACATGTTTTCTTTCTCTCTAACTGACATTGACCTTTTCTAAGTTTTAGGAGATGACTGAACTGTTGCGTTGGTACGTAGAAAGGATAGCAACAGATCACTCCGCAACAGACCACCACCACCAACAGGTCATATTGTGGTGACTCTACTTAGTAAATGAGTTGTGGCTGTTTAATTTCAGGTATAAGAATAATGTTTTTTTTTAAATAGGGACTCTGCAGTTTAAGAGAAAATGTGGCTGTCGTAGGCTCTCCGAGGTGAATTCTAAAAGGAGTGAAAGTCAGAGAAAGGAAAATGGTATCCTCTCCTCTGACCCATTCCCTCTGGAACATAGAACAGTACAGCACAGGAACAGGCCTTTTGGCCCACAACGTTGTGCTGAACATGACACCAAATTAAACTGATCCTTTCTGCCTGCCCTTGGTCCATATCCCTCCATTCGTTGCTATTTATCTAAAAGCCCCTTAACCACCCCTATCATATCTGCCTCCACCACTACCCCTAGCAGAACATTCCAGACTCCTACCACTGAGTAAAAAAAAACTTGCACCTTACATTTCCTTTGAACTTTCCCCATTTACTTTAAATGCATATCCTCTTGTATTACACATCTGAACTCTGCAAAAAGGAGTCTGACTGTCAAGTCTATCTACGCCTCTCATAATTTTATAAACTTCTATCAGGTCTCCCCTCAGCCTCCACTGTTCCAGAGAAAACAACACTAATTTGTCCAGCCTTTCGTTATAGCCTCATACCCTGTAATCCAGGCAGCATCCTGGTAAACCTCTTCTGCATCCTCTTCGAAGCCTCCACATCCTTCCTATAATGTGGCAACCAGAATTGAACTAAATACTCTAAGTGTGGCAAACCAAAGTTTTATAAAGCTGCAACATCACTTCCAGACTCTTGTACTTAATTCCCCAACCAAGCATGCCATATGTCTTCTCTACCACCCTATCTACTCGTGTGGCCTCTTTCTGGGTGCTATGGATTAGGACCCCAAGATCCCTCTGTACATCAGTGCTATTAAGGGTCCTGCCATTAACTGTATACTTTCCCTCAAATTTGATCTCACAAAGTGCAGCACCTCACTCTTGCATGGATTAAACTCCATCTGCCATTTTTGCACCCTTATCTGCAACTGATCTATGTCCGGCTGCATCCTTTGACAACCTTCTACACTATCCATAACTCCACCGATCTTTCATTGCAGCTTCACGTCAAGAATCAGTCCCTTCCTTCAGAATGGAAAGGGCCACTGTCAGTTAGCATCATAGACCAGCAGCTGGTTCAGAGTCAAAATGGTCAAATTGTACTTAAGTACACTAAGTTTGTGAATGGATACAGTACCTTAGCTTTTCCTGACCTGGGAGAAGTTCCACCTCATTTGACATCGATCCTTTAATCTCTGTATTTCTAAGCTGAAAATATAAATTGGTAGTTCAGAATTGAAAGTAAAGACTGTGTCTTCGCTGAATTACAATATTTAATAGACAAATCTTCAGAGAATCATAGAATTGTTATGGCACTGAGAGAGACCATTCGACCATCATGTCTGCTCTGGTTCTATTGGCACTAGGTAATCCCCATGTTATCCCATTTCCCTCTTGAACGCATCTGTCCATTTGAGAAACTGGATTCCATTTCTTGCCATCACATTGCATTTCAACCCTAAAGAGTTAAACACACTTACAGTATTTGACAGGAATGAGGCGTCACCTCCCTCAGAGAGGCAAAGAGGAAGAGCCAACATTAAGATGAGTTTTCTTTTTCACAATATTTCAACCCTTGTTCTGAAATGCCTTGTTCAGGACAATACCATGCGTCTCTGGGCCAGGAGCCCTGGGTTCAAGTCCCACCTGTTCCAGAGGTGTGCAGCAACATGTTTGAGCAGGTTGATTAGAAAATATCTAGGTGCTATGTAAATATATTTTCACATCCTTTATCATGAACAGAAATTCTGCTGCCTACACCACCACCACACTTTCAATGTTTTTCAATGTAGACAGTTATTCCCACCATAATCTCTCCAGCTCAGCCACTAATATTGGTAGAAGCTATCCATTGCAAATGCAAACTCCGCACATTTTTGCATTTTACAATTTTAGTAGAGGGGAGGTGGTGGCAGCCTCGTGGTTATGTCACTAGTCTAGTTATCGAAAATATCATATTAATGTTCTGGACACATGGGTTCAAATCCACCATGGTAGATGACGTAATTTAAATTTAATAAAAAACTACAATTAAAAAGCTGGCTTAATAGTGATCACGTAATTGTCAATTGATGAACCAAACGGGCTTCTATGGCAATGTCCTTTAGGGACAGGAATTGAATTAAATTAGCTTTGTCACATGTACTCAAATGAGAACAGTGAAAAGTCTATGGTCACCGCATTACAGCACCATCTTAGGTACAAAGGTACCTGGGTACAGATACTCAAGATCAAATTCTTAGGAAACAAAAAACAAATTTAGAAAGGTACAAGTAAAGAAATCTGCCATCCTTACCTGGTCTGGCCTACATGTGACTCTAGAACCACAGCCACATAGTTGACTCTTAATTCCCCCTGGACAATAAATGCCAATAAAACCTCATCCTATAATTTTTTTATAACAACATGAACACCCAATAACTCTGAATTTCAGTTCAAAAACACACTATTGCTCTTTGCACAGTACTATGCTGTGTATGAAAAGATAACTCAGTCTTTTTCTGGCAATGCCAATGGAATCAAATCTCAATAAAACCGAATCAGTTTTGTAGCAGTTTAAAATATCTCTCATCAGACAGGGAAATGACAGGAAAATATAAAAACACATCATAATCATATGCTGGCAGGTGGAAGCATACCATGAAAAGTAGCCCTTGGATTTTAAAGGGAGAGGAGGTTGAGTAAGAAGAATTGGGAAAAGGAACAAATGATAATAAAAGAAAGAGCAGCTAAGTGAAAGCTCATCAGATCACTGTGCTATCACAGGGGTATACTGCGTACGTTCAACAATGTGCAGTTTGCTTTATAAATGAAACAGAAAGAATGTTTTATTCTATCGGTTCCTGTTTTATTTAACAGCTCTTCCTGACTAGAGAGGAGCAATTGCATTGAGTTGTGCCAGATTTTATCATTTGACCATCTTCATCTATAGAGATAGGAATATAACCCATTCAAATCAATCATAAACTGTATGTAAAAATAACAAATGGCTGGCAGTGGTTTCCAAATGAAATATAATGCAAACATATCAGGACCTGATTAAAAACTTGCAACCTTCCAAGAATGTCTAAGATGCCATCAGGATTAAAAAGATAACGTATTGTCCCAGATATAACTAAACACCCTTTTGTTTTCCCCCATTGCATTATGCATACTGCTGAGGGACCACTGACAGGTCAGCTTCTTTGTCAAAAAGGCAGCTTGAAGCTGCTTTGGGCAAGATGTTGGCCCCACAGGAGATTGGCGACTGCCACGTTCAGCCCCCGATGACCTCTGTCTTACGGATGACCGAGCCCAAAGACCCAACGGAAAGAAGAATATTGACAGAGCGAGGCTGGGTCAACGAACTGGGACACATGGTGGCAGAAGACGTGTCGAATGAATTTCTCACCTCATTAGCCAAAATGTCAAGCAATATAAGGCTGGCCAATCACCCATTAAACGCAAGAACTGCAAAGTGAGGAAGAGTTGTAAAGCAAGATTGGAGGATGCTAAGAGTGATGTATATGAATGACAGAAAGCTGCTGTAAATATAAACTTATGATGAAACACATAGTGAAAGCAGACGGTTCAACAGGGAGATGAAGTGGTATCAGTGACTGCATTCCTTATTAAGGCATTCAATTACAAAAGTCCATTTTGCAACTGTTACTTCCCCCACTCTCTGAAGTCACTCAAAGGATTTCTTTGGGCTAAAATCCGAAGAACCACGGATGCTGGAAATCAGAAACAAAAACTGAAATTGCTGGACAGTCTCAGCAAGTCTAGCAGCATGCGTGGAGAGAAGGACAGTTAATTTTTCGGGTCCGGGGACCCTTCCTCAGCACCTGCTGCATTCTCTCCACAAAGTGCTGACAAACCTGCTGAGTTTCTCCAGCATTTTCTGTTTTCGATTTTGCTGGGCTCATGGCAATAACTAAGGAATGCTGTGGTCAACTAAGTTGAACTTGACTTTTGCAGTTGCCTAACCTACATACTGTTTGTCATAAGAACAATTTTGTTCTGTTTATTTTTATCGTCAACAAGTTTTTAATTACCCATAACACATTCTTTTTTGGTTAAAGGACACATCGTATTGAATTGGCAAATTGTTCAATAAGCTGTTAAGCAGCATTATTCGTATGAGAGGAATCAGAGCGAGACTGAAAGCCAACACCACTAGCTCTAAAGAGGTTCTTCAGATTATTGCAACATACTGACAGCCAAAAGATAAACAGAAAATGGTATAGACTGAACTCTACTCACAGACATGTAGGAAAGGTAATACAGATCTTTTCACAAGATCACAGGCTTAATGTTTTAACGAAGACTTGTGACTCGGGTTGCAGTTGGAATTGTTGGTTGGTTCGCTGAGCTGACTGGTTTTCATGCAAACGTTTCGTCTCCCTTCTAGGTGACATCGTCAGTGCTGTGTAGCCTCCGTTGAAGCACTGTTGTTCTGTCCTGCTCTGAATTTATATGGGTCCGGTCTGTCATGGTAGGCAGTTTTGTATTGTAGTGGTATATAAATAGGGTCTATTTCAACGTGTTTGTTTATCGCATCGGTGGTTGAAAACCAGACCTCTAGGAATTCTCATGCCAGTGTTCATTTTGTTTGTTCTAGTACTGTAACCTTGTCCCAGTTAAATTGATGTCCTTCTTTGTCCGAGGGTATTGCAACAAGGGAGAGTTGGTCGTGCCATTTTGCTGCAGGTTAGTGTTCACGTATCCTGGTGGCAAGTTTCCTTCCTGTCTGTCTGTCCTATGTAGTATTTCTCACAGTTGCTGCATGATATTTTGTATATCATGTTTCTCCAGCTCATTGGAGGTATGCAGTCTTTCATCTTTGAGAGTAACTGGCAAAGTGTGGCTGTTGGTTTGTGTGCCATCCTTATTCCAAGAGGTCGTAGGAGTCTTGTAGTCAGTTCTGATTTGTTTCTAATGTAGGGTAGGGTGGCCAGTGTGCTGGGGCATACAGTGTCTTCTTGGTGTTGTTTATTTGCCAGGCATCAGCGGACAAAGCTGTTAGGATACCCATTGTTTGTAAAGCCTTTGTACAGGTGTTCCTGTTCATTTTTGCGCAGCTCCAATGTGTTGCAGTGTGTTATTGCTCATTTTTAAACAGAGTCATGACACAATGTCCACAAACAGACTGGCCACCCTACCCTATGTTAGAAATGCATCAAAACTGACAACAAGACTCCTACAACCTCTTGGAATAAGGATAACACCCAAACCAACATCCACACTTTGCCAGTTACTCTCAAAGACAAAGAGCCCCATACCCACAATGAGCAGGACAAATGTGATACACAAAATACCATGCAGCAACTGCAAGAAACACTACATAGGACAGACAGACAGGCAGGAAACCCGTCACCAGGATACATGAACACCAACTCGCAGCAAAACGGCACAACCAACTCTCCCTCGTTTCTATTCACTCCGACAAAGAAGGACATCAGTTTAACTGGGACAGTGTAACAGTACTAGGACAAGTATTCCTGGAGACTTAGTTTTCAACCAATAGTGCGATTTAAAAAAACATGTTGAAATAGACCCCATCTACATACAACTATGGTACAAAACCAGAAACAGAACTACCCACCAATACAGACCATACCCTATAAATTTAGAGCAACAACTCCAGATCACAAGGATGGCTTGATATTTTATAGCTATAACACAAATATTTAATTTGAGGTTCTGCCAGCTTCCCTGTCCCAGATAACTTGGTCAGAAGGATCCGCTTGTAGGTGGCTTCTCCCACCTCGTCACACTGGGGTGCCAGCCTCACATTTTGTATCACCAGTTAGAGAACAAATCGTGCAAAAAAAGGAAACACATGCCCTGCAAAAGCAACTTTGCAAAAAAAGAACACGTGCTCAAAATGACTTTGCATGACAGAACCCACCAGCACAAGTTGCATTTACTGTTGTACAATACAATTAAACAAAAAAAACGTATGGATGAGAAAATAAATAAAACAAAACTATTCTGGTGAGAAATCAAATAGAGGCTAAGCAACCACAAATATCAAGTTCGACTTTGTTGATCAGATTAAAACAGGTTCTACACTTAAGTCAATCAGCAGTAATATGGAAATGTCAGCAATTTAAACTCTAGTTAAATTACAGTCAACTATGCATCATCAATTCATAGCTAAAACATTTCCAGATCACACATTTGATCATGCTTTTCTTTAAATTTTTCCATGGAATGTCAGCGGCACCAGCAAGGGTAACCTTTGATGCCTCCATTCCCTAATTGCTTGTGAACTGATAAGTGCACCAGGCCATCTCAGGAGATAGTTGGTCCAGAGCTACATGAGGGGCCAGACCAGGTAGAGATGGCAGATTTTGTTCCCTGAAGGACATTAGTGAGCCATAAGGGTTTTTAGAACAACCAATGATAGTTGGAATAGCTATATTACGGAGATTAGCTTTACATTTTGAATGTTACAAATTGCCTGCATTGTATTGTACTTGAAAAGAACATTAGAAAAAGAGTAAAATAATACTTACTGTTAAGACATGGTGACACTTGTCAAGAACATCGATAATGACTAAACATTCTACTGTGAGTCCACTGCTCTCATGTAAACTTCCCTGCAAGAAGCTGTTTATGGCAGTCGTGTATTTGTAAGTATACTGGAAACCTTTCTGGTAATTCAGTTGATTGGTACCTAAAGTAACAACAACATTTCAGTTAACTTGTTAAATTAAAATTAAACAGTGGTGAATATTGAATATTTGATTAACTAAATTGTACTTAATTGATCTTTCCTAATTTATAACTATGACAAAAAATATTTCAAAGCCTCTTTCACTTTGCTAGAGTCTCAAAGAAAAGTTTGTCAAATATGACTGTTACCAATGTTAGTGGCAGAGGAATCCACGCTACACACTAGTCTATAAGGAATACCAGAAATAGCTGCTGATCTAGCACTGAACACAGAATTGCTTTTGGGAAGGGAATGGTAGTGAAGTCTAACTGGTCTTTAAATGACTGAATTCTGGAGATTTAATAGAAGGTTTAATTCTGAAACACAAATGGTCCCAACAAGTAGTTGAGATCATATTTGCAACATAGTTCTGGTCAGAATCAGGGCTGTGACTTTAACAACAATCATTATTACCTTACAGATCACTTCATTACTGCCTATTCCCCCACTTTTGCTTGCATTTTGAGAGGATCAGGATTGAACATTGCTTTGTGATTGTCTATTTGTCTATAATATAGCAAACGGCCACAGCAAACTAAATCAAACCAAGTTTGTTCAACAGTCTGCACTCATTAAATGAACAGTACTCAAGCACTGACTGGGTATTATTCATTTAATAAGGCTTAAAAACAGTGACCACAGTATACACACACATGTACACACTGATGTGCAGTATGAGAGGCTCAGCAACTGCTTGGCAGCCTTGTGTTTCAGGGAATCTGCAGAATATTAAGTGGAGCAGAAAAAAGACTTGAAGTTGCAAAATGGGCAAATGGCTGTGCACAATTGATGGGATGTTACTGCGTAGGAAAGTAATATCATAGAGGCGTACAGCATGGAAACAGATCCTTCGGTCCAACTGGTCCATGCCGACCAGATATCCTAAATTAATCTGGTCCCATTTGCCAGCATTTGGCCCATATCCCTCTAAACTTTTCCTATTCATGTACCCATCCAGATACCTTTTAAATGCTGTAATTGTACCAGCCTCCACTACTTCCTCTGGCAGCTCATTCCATACATGCACCACCCTCTGCGTGAAAAAGTTGCCCCTCAGGTCCCTTTTTAAAATCTTTTCCCTCTTCACCTTAAACCTATGCCCTGTAGTTCTGTACTCCCCTACACTGGGAAAAGACCTTGACTATTCACCCTGCCCATGCCCCACATGATTTTATACCCTCCTCTAATTTTCAAAATTGCAAAGTAAGTTGTATAGGAAGGGCAGAACATTAACACTCCTAGGAGCTGAAGCGGTGATAATAATGAATGGTAAATGATGAATGAGGGCGAGTAGGCGCCTCTGTTTGCAGTGAGGAATTCCCTTTCCCTTTGCAGAACCGCATGCTCTCAACTCAGTGTTTGCAGACTGCAATGCTGAGTTCCAGCAACAGTAAAATTATTGTCCTGGGCCGTTATACAGTGACTAATATCTTGGCTGGGGAGCTCTCATTCTGTAATGCAGTAAGGACACTGGTGGGCTGGACGGCGGGGCAGGAAAATTGAGCTTGTTACACAGAGAGGTTGAAGCAACGCGTGGTGGCCAGCAGTTTTCAAACAGTGTTTCGATGGGAGCAGCACTGTTTGAATGCCTCCCTGCCAACACTGCACAGGGATCCCTGCGGTTTGCAAACTGCCTCAACACTATTTAACTTGAGAGTGCGGTCAGCCCCACGCGAATACACACGGTGCTTACCAGTGCAAGTGGGCACGCAGGTGTTACTTGGCCGAGCGTCCGCTGGGTTTCCTGCGGAGTAAAAGACAGGAGATAAATGCATTGGAGTGAGTCATGGTGTGTGAAATGAGGCTTTTCTTTCTGCTGCGACCAAGGAGTATCATTACTGAAGGAAGCTACAGGAAAGCTGCATTCGGATATCACCAGATTTGAGATCCCAGGCGGTCAGGGTCAGGAGTCAGTCCTGCATTGCCCTTTCTGCTCAGCGACCGCTGGCCCAAAAAAAACCTCTTCCCAAGACCAGACTCCTGTCTTCCTCCTCCTTGTGAATGAGGAGAAAGAGTCAATTTGCAGCGATACAAGACAGTACCTCACCCCATAGAATGTCATGGACAGAGTCTATCCCCTCATCATGTTTATTCCAGATTAGTCAACTCAAGGGGAAAAACTCATTCTAGACAATTTTGCAAAAAAATCCCTTTCAATCCCGGAAATCCACCAGGATCTATGCAAATTGGAATTAAAAACAGAGAGAGAGGGAGAGAAAAATCCCTCAGTTCCCCGGTGCAGACCAGGAATTTAATATTCTAACAAACCATTGCACACACAGACATAACTTCAAGCAATGCCAGGGATAGCCTTCATTTAGTCAGCAATCTCATTAACTGTTCCTCGTTTCCTTTCCATTTCAGCCCTTGTTCGCAGTGCAGTTTATTGGAAGGAACCTTAGATCTTGGAAAGAATCGGTTTGGACATGGACACGGACGGACGGACACACACACAGAGGCTGGGTAACTCTTACCCCCTCCCTCTCACACCACTCCCCTCCAAATCTCCAGCGGATACAAGACTTACTGCCGAACCAGCAAACAGCCGCCCAGAGGCAGAAAACTGCCCGCACCCTCATCGCTGTCACAAGAGGGACGCTCCTGGAGATAGTTGGGAGCAGTGCAGCGCCGGTTCCTGCGCTTGGGCTGGGCATCCAGCGGCAAACTTAACTCCTTCACCCGGGTGTGAGGAGAAAGGGGGAGCCGCTGGAAAACTTTCCACCAATCCCAGGGGCTCACCAGCTCGGCTAATATTCTCATTGGTTAGGAGAAGGGAACCACCAACAGGAAAATAGCAATATCACACACACACAAAAATCAATTATATTCTAAAAAGCAGGAAACTTAAATGATGAGTTGCTTAAAAGTAGCACAATGTGATTTCTAATTAAGTTAAAAGGCTTCTTGCTGAATTACTGTCGTTTTCACTAAAGTATTTTTTTCAAATAAGTTGGGGCTGTTCTTTCAGGGTAGCATTCGGTGCCAGTATTACACCAGCTTCCTGTAGATTGTATCTGTGTTAAGAATGTACGATGATCTCAAGTGCTCCCTATAGTAGAAGCTCAGGAACAAGAAGAGGTTACAGGACCTTACAGCCTCTCCTATCACTCAATGAGATCCTGACTAAACTGCTGTCTAACTCAATGTAGCCACTTTGCCTTCAAAACCTTAAAACGAAAAAAAAACTAGCAATTGCAGTAGCAACTGTTTGCAGAAGAGGTTTTCAAACTACACGATTTTCTTTTTACTGCATTCACAGGATGAAGGCTGGGTCAGCATTTATTATCCATCCCTAAATGTCCAAGGAGTGTTTGAGTCAACCACATTGCTCTGGGTCTGCAGTCACATGTTTACCAGACCAGGTGAAGATGGTAATATCCTTCCCTAAAGGACATGAGTGAAGCAGGTGGGTTTTTCCAACAATGGTTTTATGGTCATCATTACACTCTTAATGCCAGATTTTTATTAAATGCAAATTCCACCATCAGATTTGAGCCCAGGTCCCCAGAACATTACCTGGGTCTCTGGATTAACAGTCCTGCGACAATACCGCAAGGCCATCACTTCCCCAAGTGTAAATGTTTCATTCTAGACAGGGTCTGGTTTTAACACTATGTCCCCCACCCATGTCCTTGATGTCTCAAGCTGTGAAAATCTCTTTCTTTCCAGCCTACTTGTTCATCTCTGTATCTTAAATTTCTAAACAAATCACCATTTAACTTGATAAATTCCAGGGAATACAATTCTAGTTTGTTAAATGTTGCCTTGTTATGTCACCTTTTGAGTCCCAGTCAGTAAAATTCACCATAATCTCATGAGAGGAAGAGATGGCTGTTGGGGAGGTTAATCAGAGGACCACCACATCTCAGGCAAGGGAAGAAGATAGGAACTTCATAGTAATCTCAGTTGGTACAGGAATTGAACTCATCCTATTGGCATCACTGTTTTGCAAACTGAAAATCCAGCCAATTGAGCTAACCAAGTTCAGGTACATAATTCTTTGGAAGTTGTGTCTCATATTCAGGGTGGTTAAAAAGGCATTTAGCACACTTGCCTTCATTGCTCAGAACTTTGAGTATAGGAGTTGGGATGTCACATTGAGACTGTACAAAATGTTGGTGAGGCCTCTTCTGGAGTACTGTGTCCAGTTCTGGTCACCCTGTTATAGGAAGGATATTATTAAGCTGGAGAGGGTTCAGAAGAGATTTACCAGGATGTTGCCAGGAATGGAGGGTTTGACTTATAAGGAGGGGCTGAATTGGCTGAGACTTTTTATCATGGAGTGTAGGAGTTGAGGTGTGACCTTATAGAGGTTTAGAAAATCATGAGGGATATAAATAAGGTGAATGGCATGTGTCCTTTCCCTAGGGTGGGGGATTCAAGACTAAGGGATATATTTTTAAGGTGAAAGGAGGAAGATTTTAAAAAGGCATGGGGGAATTTGTTTTTAAACACAGAGTGGTTTGTGTGTGGAATGAATTTCTAGGGGAAGTGTTGTTGCTGGTACAATTGCAACATTCAAAAGACATTTGGATAAGTACAGGAATAAGAAATGTTTGGAGGGATATGGGCCAAGCGTAGGGAGGTGGGACTAGTTTAATTTGGGGTTATGATTAGCATGAACTGGTTCGACCATAGTGTCTGTTTCAGTGCTGTATGACTCTATGACTCTATAAGTCCCAGTATTATTCTGGCAAATCTCCACTGTATTCTGTCAAGGCTCCTTTCTCTGTCCTGAGGTGGGTGCCCAGAATTGCTCAACATAGCTGCAGGTGTGGTCCAAGCTGGCGTTTGTGTAGCTGAAGCACGGCATCTGCCCCCTGTGCTCTAGATATAAAAACCAGCAAATCTTTTCTTCAACTAATGCAGAGAATGCTGAAGAAACTCAGCAAGTCGAGCAGCTTAGCAGAGAGGGAAACAAAGTTAACATTTTAAGTCTGGTATTATTGGGTAAAATAAAAGCTCCTGGTGTAGGGGGCAAGCAAAGGAAAATAGTTATGGTTGTTGGAGTTCAGATATCTCAGCACCAGGACATTTCTGCAGGAGTTCCTCAGGGTAGTGTCCTAGGCCCAACCATCTTCAGCTGTTTCCTCAGAAGTTGGATGTTCACTAATCACTGCACAACATTCAAAATCATTCACAATTCCTCAGATATTACAAATTCAGCGGGACCTGGGCAATATTCAGGCATGTGCTAAGAAGTGGCAAGTAATATTCACACCATACAAATGACAGGCAATGGCCATTTCCAACAAGAGAGAATCTAAACAACATCCCTTTACATTCAATGGCATTATTAAATTACGCCCTTATCAATATCCTGTGGATCATCATTGACCAGAAATTGAACTGGACTCACCATATGAATACAATAGCTACAGAATTGGTCAAAAGCTAGGAATCCTACAGTGCATAATTCTCCTCCTGATTCCCCAAAGCCTGTCCACCCTCAAGTCAGGAGTGTGATGGAATACTCCCCACTTGCCTGGATGGGTGCATCTCCAACAACACTCAAGAAGCTAGACACCATCCAGGATAAAGCAGCCTGCTTGATTTGCATCAGATCCACAAACTCCACTCCCTCCACCACAAACATGTATTATCTACAATGTGCACTGCAGCACCTTCCAAATCCACAACCACTTCCATCTAGAAGGACAAGGACAGCAGTTATATGGGAATACCAACAACTGAAAAGACCCTCCGAGCCACTCACCATTCTGGCTTGGAAATATGTCACTGTCCCTTCAATGTTGCTGGGTCAGAATTCTGGAATTCCCTCCCTAACAGCATTGGGGTCTCTGATAACACATTGTCTGCAGCAGTTCAAGAAGGCAGCTCACCACTGTAGTGACTGTAACGAGGTCAGCCAGTTAGATCTCACAGAATACAAGTTCCCTGATTGGTGCTGTTAATCTGGTACAATCAGGGAGTCTTGGCTGACAGAGATAAACAAGAGCGTCAGAGGTTTTGTTCACTCTGGGAGCTGGCTTTGAGGAAGCTGGATCAGTATCAAGGACACTCCACATGTAAATAAAGGGGGACTTGGTGACAGGATACTGGCCTCTATGGAGTTACTTCAGCGGCGATGATAGAAAAGTATGTTCCTAAAGAAATTAACTTGTAACAGTTGACTTTGAGTTGGGGTAAGCATTTCTGGCATCGTGCTGTTATTTGGGAAGCTTGACTTGCACAATCCTGCAATTGAAGACTGGGCCAAGTATGTGGAAAGAATGTATTATTTTTTTCCAGGCATATGACATTGGGGCAGATGAAAAGCAACGAGTAATTCTCCTGTCAGGTTGTGGACTTGCAGCTTTTTTTATGGTTATTAGGAACCTAACTTTTCCCAGATACTAAAACCATTCAAGAGTTGACAGATTTAGTTAAGGAATATTACGACCCAAAGCCTCCTCTAATTCTGAGGTGCTATTAGTTTTACTTGGCAATTTGAGAACCAGGGGAATACATATCGGTGTTTTTGAATTGGTTAAGACAACTGGCAGAGGCATCTGACTTTTGTTTAACCTTTAACAAGATGCTGAGAGGCCATTTGGTAATTGAGACCAATGGTATAACCATGCAAAAGCACCTAATAGCTGAAGTCCAACTGGACTTCAAACAGGCACTACAACAGGCTTTATCATTGGAAAATGTGTCAAGTGGAGCGTATGAGTTGCAGGGTATTCGGATGGAAGTGGACACCCTTGCCAGGCCGACTGAGCTTGGGGAGCACCACTTGAGTGAAGCCTCACTCAATACAAATCCTGAACTGAGGGACTCTACATCAGCCCACAACAAAACCCCAAAACAAAGCCAAGCCTCAGCCAGAAGGTTAAAATTTTCTTCAGGATCCGGGCCAGCAAGCCATTGCAGCTGCTGCCAATATGCAGACTCGAGACAGCAAAAGTGTCCCACTAGACTTAAATTGAGTAATAGAACCCATAGGCCGGTATCCAGGAGAGTGCATGTCCCGGAAAGTCCACCTAACCTAGATTGGAACAGTTAAATTGCTTAGGGACATCCAATTCAGAACCAATCAAAATAAACCTCTGGTTAAATGGTCACCTGGTTGTAATGGACGTCGATACCAGTGCGGTCATTTCAGTGATCGCAGAACCAGTCTTTAACAAAATTTGCTCTAGATCCCAACCTTTCAGTTTGCACAAGTCTTCAGCTAGACTAAGAACGTATACCAGGGAACGTTTATAGATTAAGGGTACAACTTCAGTTCTAGTCTCTAATGGGAAGAGCTGGTTCTATTATCACTGATTGTAGTAAAAGGCTTGGGCCCAAGCTTTATGGGCTGAAATTGGTTGAGAGACATTCACCCAGATTGGCTCAACATTTTTCGATTAGAAAACGGTTGCCTGAGTGAAGTCCTAATTAAATACCCAGAAGTCTTCCAAGAAGGTCTAGGGACTATCAAAGGAACCAAGGCCACATTGCATGTTGACCAGGAAGCAATTCCACGATTCTGCAACACCTGCCCAATGCCATTTGCCTTACAGGCAGAAGTAGAGGCAGAAATCAGAAAGCTGGAAAGCGAAGACATAAACCAGTCCAGTTTGCAGAATAGGCAGCACCAACCATACTGATTGTGAAGCTCGATGGGTCGGTTCAC